TAAAAATTAGAACGAAAAAAATTTTTTTTGAGATTCGTATTAAAAAACAATTCTCGTAGAAAAGTGTATTTTTTATATTGCTAAAGATTATAAAGATTGATATAAATCGTGTAAAACAAGAATCGTTTTCGTTTTTCATCGTTGTCAATTCATATATATTCTTTACCGTTGCTCGTTATTCGATTTTCAAAATAGAACTTATTTTCCGCATAAAAATTAAACCAACAGAAACCTAATGAACAAATTACAAAAATTGGGCGGGACGTCTCTTTCCTTTGTTTTTATAATCGTATTAAAGCATAGATTGAAACCCTTTCATTAAGCTACATGTTCAGCTTCATGGATTTTCCATTATATTTCAGATATATTTTCCTGGCATTATACATGTGGTCTACGTTCTCCGGCCGTCTGGCCTCTTTCAAAAGGCGATTTCAGAAGTCAGTACAAAATTTTCCAAAGATGAATATCGTTTCCGTTTAGTGATATGTTCAGCATTAAACGATTTGCATGAATATATTGAGCAAAATCAACTAACATCGGATATGGGCGGTACATTAATTTATTCCCATCATGAATGGATTCAGCAAAGAATTGTAAGTTTTTAAGTTTTATAGCCAACGAAAGAAAAAATATTAATATGTGCTTTGTGTATATAAAAGTCATTAGAAAAATTTTCAAGCTTAACTCATCAAGTATCGGCTGAATTAGATATTTTCATCCAAGCCATACACGATACTGAATTTCCGAATTCGGTGGAAGCTACTCAAAAACTTCTCGATGATCAGGGCGTCGATTATGAAAGATTAAAGGTGATATATAAACCACCACCAAAAAGTATTTATAATTTTATTTAAATCTTAGGACGAGATATTAGCTGCTGCCAAGCATGGTGAAACTTTACTAAATAATATCAAATCAAATGATGAGATTAAAGAATTTTCAGAGCGTACCGGCAATGTTAGTTCCATAGAACGGTATGTATTATTGTTAAATCTAAGTGTTCTATTGCAGCGAAATAAATTAATTCACTTACTAAAATCTGTATGTCTATTCTTATATAGATCTATATATATATTATTGTATACGTAACAAGTCCTCTTTATCCGAATAGAATCCAAACTTAATTTCCTTAACTTCCCCGTAGTCGCTTCCTCTGTCTGTCCCTCTCACTCTCTTTTATATACATTACTAACTTTATTCTTGTTTCAATTTGACATGTAATTAATTTGAAAAGAATTTACTTTTTTTGAAAAAAAATTGTGCTGTTTCCCTTTAATTTCTAGCTCTGCACTGGTTTTGTAAAGTAAATTTTTATCAATTTAAAAATAAAAAGTTAACTTTTTACTTTCTGTTATAGGTTAAAAAAAAACCGCAAGCAATTGAAAACAACCGTTTAAAATTGTTGATATTGATCATTTGATCGTTTAAAACATTTCTCAAACGATTGTTTGAAATTTCAAAAAAAAAGAGATACAATTTTTAGCATGTTTAATAAATTTCATTTCATTTCATTTCTAAATCGATCGTTCAATTCGAATTTCATTAATGTTTTCCAAATATTTTTTTTTTACTTATTTATCAAAATGACGTATGCATAGAGTTAAGTCCAAATTAGAAGCTGAGATATATTTTCATTACATGCTATAATTTATTTTCATATTCGGCTGTGTTAAAGTGTTTACGTCAGTGTTGCATGAGTTCGTTTGTGATAAAAAAAGATTATATATATATCGTTGTAACATGAGATTTACATTATTATAGCTGTTTAATACACGCATATCTATCTACACAATATTATTCACATAAAAATATTATTCAATTTTTTTTTTGGCTTTCATCGGTTTTTTTCGTCATTTTCACACGGCATTAGCACATTTTTCTCATTCTCGTTCACATTATTTACCTAACCGAATACCGCCTTAACATATGCTTCACGTTTTTTAACATCCTAAAGAAATTTATTTAACAGAAACAAGTTTGAGAGCAAAGATACAGTTTTTTTCGAAATTGAAAAATAATTTTTCTAATGCTTCTTTATGCCCCTTTTTTTAATCTTGAACAATTATTCAACAAATGTAAACAAATTCAGACGCTTATTCTCACATTTTTCGAATTATTGAGAATATAATACGCTTATTCTCGTATCTGGCCAATTTTTATACGCTTATTCTCGTACATGGCCAATTTTTATAAATAGGGGAAAATCGAATGCCACGCCCATAAAAACCGATTGACCATTCTTTAAACCTTACATCACTTCTGGTGCAAGAGTATATTAAGTTTGCGAGTATGTTTCCATTACCCAGAAAGGTTTCTCATTTCTGTAACAAACGAACGGATTTTCAAGTATCTTCCATATTTGCAGTTTCGTACTTATCGCTTGTGAAATGTTTTCTTCATTTTTTTCGTGGTGATTTTACGCACTATCATCTCTAAAATATAAAACTATAGCAATTTCACCATTTCGTATGTAACATGAGAGGAGAAATGCTGGATATCGTTTAGTTCAGTTTTACTATAAAAAATGTGAACCAATCTAAGTAAAGTAAATTGCTAAATTATCAACCAAAACTGCAAAATCGTGTATCCATACTATCAATGGCCTCGCTAAAGACAATCATGTTACAACGTCACAGCATTCTTCAGTGGATGAGGAAAATATAGTATTGTGTAAAGCATTTAAAGCATTTTAACTACCAATTGAGTCGGAAGAACACTTGATATTTTCTTAATCTATACTCCTGTGAAAGAGCTGAACAAATTTTTAATATTCCACTGAATATACATTTTTCGGTGTTTGAATTCAGTTCAGTATGAGCTCATTTGCTGGGATTTTTATATATCACAATTTTCTTTCTTATATTGTCTTTAATCCGCTGCTCTATAGAGACACAACCTCTCTCTGCGTACGTAAAAAAAAATGTGAAATAACTTCGAATTTTGTTACTTTAGAGCGTAAGTAAATGAGCGAACTTCGAATTTTGTTACTTCAGAGAGTAAGTAAATCAGCGAACTTCGAATTTTGTTACTTTAGAGAGTAAGTAAATGCTAACTTCAAATAATGTTACTTTAGAGCGAACTTTTTTGCCCTACTATTTTTAAAAGTAGCTTCGAAGGAATGTTGGTGTCCTCAAATGAAAATAATTGAAAAGAGTATTTAATCCCAGCCTAGATTATTTTATTATTTTATTATATATATATATATATTTTTTTTTTTTTTGGTCGATATCGTAAGTTATATTTATATGCAGTTTATAACGGAATTGTTTAATCTGTTATATATAACATTTATATAGTGGCGGGACGAATTTAGCGAACTTTAAGTTAATCCAAAATATTAAATATTCTTTTCAATTATTTTCATTTGGGGACACCAGTAGCTTGGCACACATTACTGCGTGAACCTTTATTTAAGCGCTCTTTGTTTATTACGAGTTAATTGTGATTCAAAGTTGAGTTAATATCACTTCTCTTTGGTCGTTTTACTACTTAGTAGAATTATTTTGACAAAAATTCTGGAAGTTAAAAATTTTAAAATATTATTCATTTAAAACTTAATATTTGTTTTGTTTGTTTTTAATTACAATAAGTAAAAAACGGGCATACTGATTACTCTAAATATTTGCTTTAGAAAACAAGACCAACGAAGTGTTCTATATACGTCACCTTATTGTATATACATGTATATACATAACTTTAGCATTTTGTAATTATTAATCGATTCCCTCTCTGTTCTTGAACCCTTCGACGAAATTTGAGTACTTTTTCACAAAAAATGTAAATCTAAAATTTAAGGCATACGTGTGTAATTTACATCCAAACTCTATCCATCTAGAATTATTCATAATAGACAAGAAAAATTTATAGTATATTTGCTAAGAATTTGCTACGGAGAGAATATACAAAGCCGGCGTAACGTTTGTCAGTGGAAAAATGACGTTGATCGACAAGCAGATAATGCCTTAATTCGCAAGATGGGACATGCATATATCTCTGCTTGAAGGATTTATTTTAAAACGAACTTTAAACGATTAACGACATCTTAACTTAAGAATTATATAAAGAAGATCTTCACACTCTCAAGTTCCTGCGAAAGCTGTCTTACTTTGAGTTAATAATTGAATAAAATTTACTCTTAACTCAAACAAAATTCTTCTATATGGGCATTTAAAGTAACGCAAATAAATTTATGATTTTTCGTGTCATGTGCACCCACACTTATTTACATCCACACATCTCATTTAATTCATCACTCACCATCATCACACCCACCCACATAAACATACATACATACGCGCGCAGATGTTTCATAGTTAAAATTTCTCTCTTGTAATCAATCATTCATTTAGTTTGCATTTAGAAATTAATATTTCTTTGTGCTCTTTTCCATGCACACCTTCTCTCGTTTTCTCTTTCTCTACCCTGTTCTCTTCTTCTTCATCGATATAACTTCGTCTCTCTCGTTTACTGCTCATCATAAAAAATATTTTTGTGTCTCTTTGCTTTATTTTTTTCTCCCTAATTAACTCTTTTTTTCCTGTAATGTCTCGTCCATGAATTGATTTTCAAAAAAAAATAAAAATCTTTTTTTTAAAAAACAAAAAATATGAGTAAACTTAAGCAGATCCAGTGCAGGGCAATATCAACAACAACATTCACAACAACAACAATCAATACAAAATTTTACAATACGTCATCAAATAATTTATCATCAACAATATAAATTGAAAAAACCACAATATTATGATGATTGTCGGGATTACCGTAGACTTTTGGTACAACTGGAAGAGACTGAACGTCGTTTCGATGAATTCTGGCGTACGCATCGAAATCGCCTGCAGCAGTGTCTGGAATTAAGAAGATTCGAACAAGGTTTCAGGGACTTGCAGGTAAAGGAATTTTTCAATTTTTATACCCTTTACAGAAGGATGAGGGTGCCGGAAAAAAACTCTAGAGATCTCATATACTATGTATTAATTTGGGCATGCCCGTCTATCTGTCTGTCCACCTGTGCAGTGTCTGTTGCAAACATTCTCCTCACCGCAAAAATTAAGCTATTGACTTCAATGTCGGCGGAAACATTGAAAGTTCTTGTTCGTATTGAGATTAGGCCGAAATCGGTCGAAGGACACGCCTATGGCACCTTGTAAACTGACAAAAAAGTGGTTTTTCACTCATTACTCATAAAAGCAGATAAATTTGCAAAAATTTGGACTTGTAGTCAGAAGAAAGCTTCAAAAACCTCCTAAAGGGTACAAATTCTGGATCCGTTTATCCCACTATGTAGTACCTGTGTTCAACATAGTCCCGTTTGCAAAAATGAAGAAATGGCCCATAAATTTGCAAAAGAATTTCAAAATAACTCAAGCCGTTTAAAGGGCACTACTACTACACTACACTTTCCGTGTTTTTTGCTCGTTACTCGTAAACTACAGCAGAAATATGACATAAATTTCCACTTTTAATCCAAAAATAGAAGGAATCAGCCGCGCCCATCCAATGTTACAGAGTATCTAAAATGTAGTTCTTTTCTTTTCTTTAGTTTTTTTTAGGAACACTGTAGAGGGTATAAAAGATTCGGTTACTACCGAATATAATTTTCTTAGTTGTTCTCTTTCGCATTCTTTGAGTTCTAATTTCTCTGAGTCTTTGTTAGAGCGCTTTTGATAATCATTTGAAAAATGTTTCGGAAATGACTGAAATCGGCGAAAGTGTGGCACGTGTAGATTGTTTGATCGAACAGACTAAGACATTTGAGCAACTCTGCAGTAAAGATATTGATAAAGCAGCCGAGACTATAATAGCCGGCCAACAGCTTATCGGTTCACGTGGTGTTTATCCTTGGGAAATTGTTCAACCCAAATGCGATGAATTGCAGCGTATTTGTGACATTATCAGCGAAAGAGTTAAGAAACGTTTAGAAATTTTAAACAAGAATCGTGAACTTATGGAGAGAGTTGAAAAGGTTTGCATTACAATTAAAATAGAAAACAATTTCATATAAATTCTTTGTATGCTCTTTTTATGTTTTTTCAATTCCAGGCAAATGAATGGTGCACTAATGGCGTTGAATTGTTAACGTCACAACGTATTGAAAAGTGTTCAACGTCTGCTGAATTGGCTGAACAAAGTCTACAAGAAATACAAACATTTATAGCATCAGCTAGTGATTTTAAACTATCTAGTCCAAGCGAATTTAAAAAAATCTTTTTAGAGAGTACAACACCCGAAACCAAAGCCCTAGTATCTCAAGTAAGTGCTTAAATCATAAACTTAACGCAATTTCCCCCATTCTAAAACTAACTATAAGTAACAATGAAGTGCGCTACCATTTATTTTGCTGGTAGTTACAATGAATGTTCAGTGTATAAAGATAATTTTGCTTACCGGTTGGGCATGTACCCACCAACCTGCGGCAACAGCGTCTCTATCTCATTTTCTCTTTCCTCACTTCTTGCTGACTGTCACCGGGTTCGTCCTCATCATAAAATCATAATCTCTAATAAACGCAAAAGTCTTTTGGTGTAAAAATATACAGATTTTCATTCTTACATCTAGACTAACTAATGAAATGGTTTTGCCAGATACAAAGTCGGCAATTTTTCTTCAAGAACAAAATAGAAAAAATCTAGAGGTCTTCGATATTTTTTTATACACAAAGAGTGTATTAGATTTGGCAAACCCTTGCGATCCCAAAAACGTGAATATATATTTTGAAGTGGTTTAAAATATTGCGTCGATTTTTCTATGTGTTATCTGAAATTATTACAGTGAAGAAACTTGGTGTGAAATGTTTGATACCCATCGCCGTAGAATGAGGGATATGTGCGTTTTATCAAAACGTCTACAACGCCCCGAAGAAAATATCAAAGATCCCACACACTAAAGTATACAAATTCTTAGCCAGTTTCAGGTTTGAAACACACGTAAACACCGTATAGTATATGTGGTAAATATTCTCCCGTCAAACGCTCACTCGCCTATGCGACAAAAACATTTATTTTGAAAATAGGAAAAATTAGCCGAGTCCATTCCCTATTAAGGAGCATGAAAAGTTGATTCTTTCACTTTTTCCATCTTTTTTTGGATAAGAATGATGGGCACAAAAAAATTCGGTCGCAAGCGAATATTATTTTCTTACTTGTTCTTATTACGGCAGTCAAACTGAATCGGAGGATAAGCTGTATTAGTCGCCCAGTCCGTCACTAGTCAGCACAAGAAATTAATAAATTTTCACTTCTTACTACACTGTTATTTCTAAATTGCTGAGTTCTTACTGTAGAACACGAAATCCTTTAACAAAATCTCTTAGCTAATGCCACAATGGTCTAAAAATATATGTGTGTGCATAAGGCGGAGACTACGTACTGTGTGGCCTTTGCTTCTATAATTCCATACAAGCAGTTGTCAAAACGTATATAGAAACGAAATGCGTATATAGTTGTTGGTTCTAAGTTATAAAGAAATATATTTTACAATTTTGTTTATCAATATCGCCTGCATAAAGCCGTCGCTTCTCTGACATTTCGACGCGTATTTTATAAAACGATTTATCAAATCCCAAGAATTATCCCTCATTTTCGTCCAAATCTTTTTCCTTCGAGAAACCTTTTGAAACGTGCAAGCAAGCAAAAGTCGTTTCGGATCAGATCTAGAGTATATAATAATGGTAAGAGCAGTTCAAATTTTAACTCACCTGAAACTTCTATACAAAATAGAAACTACACTGCCTTCTGATAAGTTTAGAGTGTCAGCTACCGATTATCGAGAATAATTTTCAACTCTTTTTGATGTTTTCCACTGTAACCGCCTCGTTTGCTGACCCAAAGCGGTCAGCATCAGCGCTGTCTATGTGATATTGTTTAAGATCAGTGATAAATTATATTTCCCGATGCACAAGGGTCGCCAGTTTTGAAGACAATGTTGATATTGAACGATATGTTTTTTCATAAGAAAGCAACACATGGAAATGACAAAAAATTTTTTTATATAATAAGGGGGTTTCTGGTTAGCGATGACATTTATATGTTAATCCCAGGAATTATTGATGGAGCGTATTAAGTACATATAGATAACGTACTATATATGATCAATATATCAAGTGAACCCATGTTTTCTCTATCTAACTTTACACCATAAAGAAGCAGAGAGATTCGGTATCCAAACCATTCCAAACCATGAATTCAAGCTATCAATTGAGTTGTGTGATGGAATCTAGCATTTCGAGCTATTCCATGAAAAATACTTTCAAGAGATTTAAATTTTTCAACTTGCGAAATCGAAGTGAATTTTTGAATTGTCGTAATCAATTAAGTAGCTTACGATAGTTAGTCGTTCCATGAAAAATAGTTTTAAAATGTGCGAATTTTTCGAGCCACGAAAGTGAGATTGCTACTTTTTATTTTAACTTGTCGGTTTAACAACGGAAAAGAACTTGCGTTAATTTTTCTAATAGTATGTGTTTGAGTTTTGAAAGCCTGCGTAAGTGAAGAAGTATATACACAACAAGTACATGTGTACTGCCAATCAGCACCTGTCTATTAAAGAAATATACACTCGTGCCGAGATAGCTGTTATAATACACCCAATTCCTTCTTACACGGTCTTTTTTTACACGATTTAGGAATAACACGGTTCCCAATGAGGGCAGATATATTTGCTTACACGATTTTTTTGCACGGATTTCTAAGGTACGCATCTACCGTGTAAAAAGGGAATTGGGTGTATTATAAATAGGAAATATGTTGAAATTTTCGTGAAAACTTCGAGGGTATTACAAATTTTTTTTTGCGAATTGGTAGCCTTAGTCTTGATATCTATGTTCCACGTCTATTTACGGTAAACGTTGTAGATTTTATACACGGCCTTCGGTGCACTGCAAAAAATATTCAGGTTCAAGGAAGGCAAAGAACGAGTTCAACACGAACAGCGCCACGGGCGATCATCAAAATGAAACGACGTAAGCCTCGATAATCATCAATTGACAATTAAAGACCTTGCTGATGTCGAACCATTTTGGAGCACGTGTTGTGCCTCTCAACTTTCAAATCTCAGTCGATTCCTAAAACAGTTAGTTTTTTAAATAAGTAACAAAATTGTATTCGGTGGTGACCGAATCTTTAATACCCATCGCCATTATCGGACATGCTTAAATCGATTTGGAATTTGATGTTGATCAAGAATATGTATACTGCGTGGAGTCCCTGATGCTTCCTTCGTTTTGACAAAATATCAGAACGTTAGGGAAGGTGTCAGTGTTGGAGATACGACTTTCATCTACGCCCGTAAAAAAGCGACCAATCGAGTAAATATCGTACAAAAGGTGATTGTAGGAGTCACTGGTCACTTGATAGTTTTCTACAATTATCGCAGTGTTAGCAATAAGCATAAGGAATATTATCAGGGTCTGCTGGCGAAAGTATTCATCATGGTCCAAAATTTTTTTCTTGATTATATTACGTCATTTCGAATAAATTTTCGTTTAGAACATTTAAACGTAGTAAATTTTCCAAAAACCGTCTTCCACATATATGTGATATCGGGGTGTGGTAAGAAACAGTCGTCGCTATTTTACACAGGATATCGTCGAGGTAATTGTTCATATTAAAATACAGAAAATGGGATGGTTGGTAGCGAACTAAGTTAAGGCGACTCCACAGCAAAAGGATTAGAAATTCCACAAGTATCGCGATTTGAGAATTGTGAAACAATCTAAAGAAAAACTCAAGTATCAAAATTCGATAAACTTGACAAATAATGCAAGCAATGAATTTACGCTTATTGTCTTTAGGTACGAGGTCGGACGCTTAAACCTACGATTCAATGAACCGTGACTTTTATGAATTTTATATGGATTTTGTTTTCATAGTTTTATCGTTTCTTGGTTTCTCTTCAATAATATCTGTGTGTTTTTCTATATATATGTATAGTTAATATAATAATCCAGAATGGCGCACAGCCGCAGCCAATAAATAAGCGGTGATAAGAACAACAGCGAACACTAATTTACTTTATGAACATATTTGCTACCCCTTGAGTAGAGTAATGTTTTTTTCGTAGTCACTTACAATGTAAAATATATATTATTTACAAACACATTCATTCATTCCTATCGTCTAGATATTGTCTGCATATGTGGTTGCGTACATTTGCATTTACATTTATTAGGTGCTTGCATGTATTTTGATCATTTTTTCACTTGAAAAGGGCACAAGGAAAATATTTTCAATCATTTTTCCCATCTTTCTGGCAACGTTTGCACTTCTTCAGCATTTGTACACCGCGTGCCAGTTAAGCCTTGCTACATCGATCTGAACAAGTGGTAATCAGAAGACCCTGTCTGTTGAGTACGGCAGGACTTCCCATTCGTGCTGAAACAGCGTATCCTTGACAACTCTTGCATTGTTAGAGGGAGTGTTGTCATGCAAGAGGATGACGCTATTCTTGGTCTTTTTTGCAACAATGCATCGTATAATTTATTCAACTCACGTCGGCAGACATCTGCAGAGACAGTTTCATTTAATTTTAGTAGCTCATAATACACTACACCTTGCTGATCCCATTCTATGCACAGCAAAACTTTATGGATGTGAAGATTCCGTTTGTGGGTGGCTCTCCGGGATTAACACATCATTTTTTCTGAGTTGGGATTGTCGTAATAGTTCTACTTTTCATCATCAGCGACAACGCGCCACAGAAACACCCTTTTTTTTTTCTGGCAAGCATTGACACCGCGATATCGCAACGATTCGAATTGGTGTTGTAGCCACTTTCTCTCATTTTGAATCTTTCCCATCGCATCTAAACGTCTAGAAGCAGTTGATTCATCAACTGCTACGAAATTTGATGATTCTTTGAGAGTTTGAGATGGCTTTTCGTCCAATAAGTCTTGGAAGTTTCTTCATTGTTTCCGCACATATTTGGTTTTGCGTTCCATTCCAAAACCAAAACCAACAAGTGTGTTTGGCAAGCTACGGCAGCAGAGTTCTTCAATTTAAGCACAAAACAAAAGCAGCGACTGAGTAACTCAATAACGCTAAATGGAAAACTGTAGAGAAAGATTAAAATCATCGAATTTAACCGTTGTGTTCATTGTTACCTCATCGGTATCACATTACTTTCTTATTTGCACCAATGGATATCGCTGATCAAAATACATGCAACCGCCTATTGCATATGCATTATTTGTGTTTACTTAATTTTTCTGGACATCTGTATTTTGAGTCATTTAAAGTAATTCAAAACAATTGTTT